TCTTGGCCTCATGCCCACGCAGTTGCCCGTCGGTGAACTTCCACCACTCTGGCCACTCTTGCCCTCCCGTGCCAGCCCCTTTAGGACTGCCAGGTCTTCGTGCCACTTTTTCAGGCCAAACACAAACAAGTCGGCGATGGCTGCCCATACAACTACCCCTATGCAATTATTAACAGTGGCATTGTGAACCTACTATCCTACCAATTTGTATGCATTACTACTCTAGACAATCCTAAGGTTCACAATCAATTCTCTACTATATTTTAACCTAATCCACTCTTCTACATTCTCAAGCAATAGCCGAAGCATTTCAAACAATACCTTTGCCCCGTATGGTCGGCCCCAGGTAAGCATGGCTATCCCATTACGTTACCCATGACACATCTATGGTCATACGGTAGCCGTCCCTATAGAAATTCACACATAAGATTATTTGTTAATTGTGGATAGTTCATGACACCAACTTGTACTGTGGACAGTCCAAGTGATACCATGTCTACCCTCGATCCCCTTGGTTGCAAGCCATCTAACTCGAGTTCATCAAACCTCTTTAACTCTTCTTTTGCTAGGCCTTACTTGCACCCATGCGACATGTTAGCTAAGGTAGTACAAGCATAACCATTAGGTTATCCTAGTAACTTCCTGCCTGGTTCTCAACAATCTTTAATAGCTTGCCGGATCTTACAAACAAGCTAATCTTCGGGTATAACTTACTTCCCTGGAGCGGTAGCTCAACCATAACTCTATTTCCAAGGTTTAACGATCAGCTAGTCTTTCTACCTTTCAGCTTCCTGGACTAACTTCTCATTTGGCCTAAGGCAGCTCCCTGGTGAAGAGTATAGCTTTGCCAATGCAAGATTCAATTCCTAGACATCCTAAAATGAAATGGGATCCGAGCCATAAACCCTCTTTGGAGCTCTTTCCCGCAATCACCAAACAACGAGTCACCCTCGGCACTGGTTGGTACCAAACCAAGCTTCCTCGAGACTAAAGGTCGAATCCCACGCCCGGAATACCCTTAGCGCGTGTATCCTAACCAATAGCCCAACGTGAATAAGACTAGATAACTCGTCAAGATCCCATACCTTCAAGTTATCCGCATGACTTCACCTATGAGTCCATAGTCAGACCTTCCGTGGTCCGACCGGATGCTCTGCCACCGCACCGTTTAGTCAAGCCTTCACTTGCCATTCTGGTCTCGTGGAATATGGACCCAAGCCGCCTTGATCTCTCTACCAAGGTCATGCGCATCCATGGTACAACTATGTCAGGTATGTATTAGGTTTCAGTCAATATGCCCTTGCTGCCCATCTCCAGACTTACCGCCATGCTCACCCCGATACTCTATCGAGCTGCAGCATGATTGCCACTAACACCAACACTTCACTACGGCGCTGTCGAGGCGTCATCGAACCATATCGAGCCCTCTCGAGACGCAGTGCGATGTCTATCGACCTGTGATACGGTACTATGCTGCTGCGACACGATCTCCTATCGTGTCGGGACATGGTACATTTATGTGGTACGGCTCGCTGTCATTTATTAACGTGGCACGTCCCATACCGTGTTAGTTCTCCGTCGAGGCGTCATCGAGGCATCCCCGAGGCCATACCGATGCCCTACTAAACTTCACCATAGTCTGGAACGAGACACTCATCGAGGCACCCCGAGGCCATGTCGATGTTCTCTCTCCACTAGGCAAGTGCTACCGTTACCAGACCGGGTGCCTGCCGATACGTGACCCGATCCTCATCAATCCCGTATCGCAGCCCCTCGCCATCCACGAGACCCTTCTCGGGCTCGACCCTAGTCGAGTGGAACTTGGCCACTGTCCTACACTCGTCGAGCCTCACATCCGGATCCGTTATCCGGATCGAGTTACCTCGACCACTACCTAGCCTATGACCCCATACTACTAAAACACCCTTTGAAAGCAATAATAATAAAGGACATCGAGGAAGGATTAGGTACGGATGGCGTCTTACCTCAATCGTGAACCTTCTCTACCGCGGGGCCGGGGTGCTGAGTTCCTTCTCAAGCTCTTCCGATTCTTCCTTCCTGAGTGTTTCCATTTGGCTCGGGAAGAGAAGAATGATTTTGGTGTGTAAAGTATGAACTCCTTAGCTCCCTATTTATACCCACGAAAATCCCCTAGAAAATATTCACTTTTCTTATTTTTCTCCACCTCCTTACTACATGGTGAGAGTTTTTTTACCACTAAGCAAGTTAACTTATCAAATAAAACCTAACAAAACTAACAACCTACTCATCATTCAATTGCAGCAAGTGAAAGGGTTCGAACACAAGGAAGATAAGGACACAAAGTACTAGATCATAAAGAACTTTCATTAAGCTAAAGCATCAACAAGGGTTTGGTTTGGATGAACTAAACAAAGCAGAGATATAAATAAGCTAGAGATACGCAAAACAGAGATTTAAAGGCAAATGCAATGATAATGGAAAGCACCAAGCGTCGGGATAGCAACTGATGAAGATCAATAGATCTCAGCTAACAAAGTCAGGGCCTTTAGTATTAAGCTCACTCTTAAGCATGGGA